TGTGATACCATAAACTAATTTATTTTATACCGAGATTTCATAAACCGGTCTGAGAAACTGGGACTGCAGCACCCCTTAAACTCTGGTGGCAAACTCAGTGATCTACCGCAGCATTGAGAGTAGACTTGACGCTTACCAATAACAGTAGAGCACTTGTAGCTTAAAACACTACATATAGCTTTCAGGATGTAAGCAATGCAAAGAGGGATTATAGACATGTTCCCTTTTGTGATTGGGTGTACGTTTCTGAACACCACTATTTTAAAATGATCCTAAACCCAGAAGGAACTGGATGGATGGCAGATACTTTGGATACTAGTCTTCCTATCCCAGCCATCAAGACACAGTGCAGACGTCAATTGCTTTATATTTCTTCCGCACCAATGTTTTTAAACAAATGCTGTGGCAGAAATGTGTTCCTCGTAAAACGTCTTTCCAAATCTGAAGGGAAATGTTCTGACCGTGCTGTCGTTGGGCAGATTGACTCTTATGGAGGCTCCCTAAAGTACAAGGTGCGCTACACTCTGGCGAGAGGAGAGACCGAACCTGCAACCAGACCTGATGTCATCATCGTAGGGAATGGCCAGCGACTCGTCTACCGCCAGAGTAGCCCCACTGTTGCTGGCACTGTGAACCAACGAGACATCACGTTCACAGAGGTAAACGGTCCTGTTTCCTTTCAGCTTTTCCAGTTCTGAGTGGGTTTAGCCAATATCATAAAACTAAGTGTGACTGGGTATATCGAACAGCTGTGGCACTTTGAAGGCTGACATTGTTGAGCATTAACCTTTCGGCTTTTAAGGGTCTGGTACACAAGAGTTGCAATTTTTAAAAGGATAAGGGATGCAATAATTATAGGTGAATATCATCCTTTTGCAGCTTTCCAAATTAAATTAATCTAGATGTACAGTATGCCTATTTTGTAAGAATCTAAACATATGTTGATACTGTACCTGTAAGGCTTGGTTGACAAATTTCAACTTGTTTGATGTTGCTTAAGCTGGGTTGTACTTAGTCACCGGTAAATTGCTCCTACCTGTAAAAGCAATCTTTGACAACCTTTCAGTTGCTGCTGGAAGTGGTTCTGGTGGTCCAGTAGGTGGCATTTTTCTGTCTGGGCAAGAACTATGTTAAATACACCAGTACCTAGGCTGAAATATGTGACAGGATTCAACTAACACAATACAAAAAGTATCTTGTCAGTAAAAAGCTGTAGCAAGACATCTATAGATGGTAAGTTCTAACAACACCTTTTGACAGTACAAAACAAGTCATATTTCTAAAATTTCTGTTCGGAGATCCCTTAAAAAATGATCAGAACGGACCTGTTACCAAATTAGTCAAGAAACTGTTCGGCCACAAATCAGAGAGCAGCATGGCATGACTCATCTCATGAGGCAGGGTATCCTGGGCCACATTCAGGCTGTTTTCCTCGCACACGGAAAATTTTCATCATGACTCATGAACGTGTCTCTGTGAAAACAAACGGTGGAAAAATCTATGCACACTTTATTTTACAACAAGATCTAAAAAACAGATGTCAGACACTTTTGATTTTGATTAATTTGTGTAAGAAATTTATACATGTAGAGTAACACTAGTAGGAAGGTACGAAGTACATTTTACGTTCCTATAATTACCTGACCTACTGTATACTCCACCTTAAGTATGACTTCTTATTTGTAGATGTAGCCAAATTAACACAAAACGTTCAGCACCTCTTGAATTTTAAGAAAAGCACTGTGCTTTTATTTTCATACCCAAAACTAAGTACTCTCTGTTTTCTGCTCCACACTTGAAAATAACGTGTTTATTGGTTCATTGGTTCATTTAGTTAACCACAGCTCACAGGGGATCCTGGACGTTGGACTTCAGTGATTTTATGATCTGTTTGGGGGGCGTTTTCACAGGAAAACTGGGAGCATTCGTCCGGGAGGCCCGTGACCCGAGAGGACCTGATGATGACCCTCGTTAACCTGGAGAGCATCAGCATCCGCACAGTCTACGACAACAAGATGGTCAGCGTGAGTCTGAGCGACATCGTCATGGATACCACCACGGTGGAGAACAGTGGCCAGGCCCAAGCTCTCACTGTGGAAGAGTGCAGGTACAGTAAGCACTGGTGCTCTACACTCCTTGAAGGCGGTCCCCAGCTTTGCACCTTAGCCTGCTGCTCGCAATAAAGCAGTGACAAAAAAGAAAAGAGAAAGCTTTTAAAGGTGCAAGACACAAAGTATGATCGAGTAAAGGTTTATTCCATGGAAAAAAGAAAGGAAAAGAAAAAAGACACAACGTTTTGGCTGTAGAGGTCTTTTCAGGTGTGACCTCCTACAAGGAATAATTAGTTGTGTTTACCTCAGGGGTGGCTAGTCAAAGGAACCCCAGCATTTTTATCAAAAAGTTGCTAATCAGTTCTCTCTCTAGGACAATGGACACAACTGCTGGCTGTTCTTTAGCTGCCCAACCTCGATCTTTTGCACATTTAAGGTCTGGTTCCATGATGTTTAAACCTTATGGGAGCACTGTGGTGCTCAAGCACCCTTCACAGCACTGCAATACTGAAGCAGAACAGCTTCAGACACTCCCACCCCCTGCCCACTGACAGCTGGCCTAAGTTTCCTTCAGGAGCTGCAGAGAGTCTGATCTTTCCTCTGGCTCCCATATTAATGACGACAGGGATGGGAATACAGTAGGCTCTCACTGTCTAGTGTCTCGGTTTCTGATTGGCATTCTGAGATTTATAACAAATTAGCAATGTGTCTGCTACACCCGTAACGAGGGCTTTGCTACTTTGGTGTTACTTTTAATTAATAATTTTACGTAGATGTTGTTCATTTATATTTTAAATTTGGACAACAGTACCTCTTGTTTACACTGTGCTATTTGTATAAACTACTAGCTAGGTGGTTGTCCTTTAATGAAGTATTCAGTGAAGAAAGGAATTTATTTCATGTGTCATCATAACATTTTTATATACTATATAAAGGCTGGGGGAAGGCTTTGTGTTTTATTTTAAACTTTGACAAACACTGATTTGCTAATGTGGAAGTGTTTTGCACGGGAAACCAACATTTCGGTGTTTCATTGTCTTTGTATTTGGTGTAGTATTAAATTACAGCCTTGATTCTATCAATATGATCATTATAATCTACCTGTATTCGAATTATTTATATCATTCATTTTTAGTCATCTATGGATGCTTATTCACTTTTGTTAAAGTTTAATTTTCCTCCCTTTGTCTCAATTTGTCTGTCTTTGTTTTCTCCCAGAAGAGTTTACTTTCTGCCCAATTGGGCATTTCAGCATAGTATGATTTCATAGAATCTGGTCTTGTGTGAAAATGTACCTGACCAAGGAGTGACAATCTATTTCTTTATGTCATTTCAGACAATTTTAGTTAGTTATGTGTGGGCAGGGCATGTGCAGCAATTCTCTTACCCTTATGCCTCATTGTACGAAAATGCATTGCTGCCACCAAGGGGAAATAAATTGCCCCCTTATCTCATAATTACGAGATAGCAATGATTAGTTCAGTGTGTGTACGACCTGTTACACTGTGCACTGAACACATCCAGAAGCGATCGTGAACTTGGCTGGCACTTTCATTTTAATGATAGTGTCAGTGTCCAGCGCTGCAGAATTTGTACGAATTTACTTTCGATTTTAGTCATAATGGCATCTTGCTATTTTTTGCCAATATGAACAGAATCATTATAAGCACAAGGACCAGTTTTGTGGGATTTAGAGATCAAAGCAATGACGGTCTCTCTTCTGAACAGTTATACGTGCGATCAGTCCCACTGCTTAAAACTGTAAGTCCGCATATAAGCGATATTGTAGGTATTACCAGCAGCCATATCACCCTGCAACTCACAACTGGCAACCCACTGGAGCTTAGCAGGTGTGAGCCTGGTCAGTACATGTATGGGAGAACTCCTGGGAAAAACTAAGGTTGCTGCTGGAAGAGGTGTTAGTGGGGCCAGCAGGGGGCACTCACACTGCGGTCCATGTGGGTCCTCATGCCCCAGTATAGCGACGGGGGCACTATACTGAAAAACAGGCGCTGTCCTTTGGATGAGATGTAAAACCGAGGTCCTGACTCTCTGTGGTCATTAAAAATCCCAGAGTGTTTCCTGAAAAGAGTAGGTGTGTAACCCCGGCGTCCTGGCCAAATTTCCCATTGGTCCTTACCAATCATGGCCTCTTAATAATCCCCAGATATGAATTGGCTTCATTACTCTGCTCTCCTCCTCACTGAGAGCTGGTGTGTGGGGAGCGTTCTGGTGCACTATGGCTGCCGTCGCATCATCCAGGTGGGGCTGCACATTGGTGGTGGTGGAGGGGATCCCCATTACCTGTAAAGCGCTTCGAGTGCAGTCGAGGCGAGGATGTTTTTCTCCCTCTGGTGTTGATGCCAGTGCTGTGGGTTTTTTCTCTCCAGATGTCCTCCGGGATACAGCGGCCTGTCGTGTGAGAGCTGCAGCGCCGGTTTCGAGCGCGTGTCCGGCGGGCCGTATCTGGGGACCTGCGCTGGCTGCAGCTGTAACGGCCACGCCAACGCCTGTGACCCCATCAGCGGCTACTGCTTGGTAAGATGTGTCCCATCCTCTTGTCCTGCTGCACAAGAGCCCAATTTGTCTTTCATCTTCCCAAGTGAAGCTTTTGGTTTTCTAAATTGGTCAGGTTCAGGATTTCTTTTATGAGAGATATTAATTAATGAGAGAATTAATACTAACTTCTTATTTTTGGCACCTTTCCAGTCAGGATTTTGAGAGTGGAGGTCTCCCTATTGCTAGAGGACTTTTGTCGTTTAATCAAAGCATTTCAATTATTTTGTTATGAACTCAGAGCTGAGATTTGCCAGCACCTTAATATTGATATAAATGTGGTATTTTGAACAGGCCATCCATTTCAGTAAAGAAGTCTTGAAGAGAACAGGTTTCTCATTCCCTCATTGCCGGATTCTGGTTCTGGAGTGTTGGTGTGTCTGCATGTTTTCACTCCAGCTCAGACCTAAACAACCTACATCAGTCCATTAGTGTCTTAATTGGAGGAATATAACAGCTCTGGGTGCCTAGGCACTTAGAAAACCTCTGGACATATCAACCCTGCTGGACCAGGAATACCCCTGTAATAGAGTGACATCTACAGTATGTACAGTAAAAGGAGACTTTTATCAGTTAATTATACAGTTTGGGGCGGAGCGGTGGCTCTGTGGCTAAGGATCTGCGCCTGTGACCGGAAGGTTGCCGGTTCAAATCCCGCGGCCGGCAGAGGAATCCTACTCCGTTGGGCCCCTGAGCAAGGCCCTTAACCCCAACTGCTCCAGGGGTGCTGTACAATGTCAGACCCTGCACTCTGACCACAGGCTCTCTCCCTGTCTGTGTCTCGTGGAGAGCAAGTTGGGGTATGCGAAAAAGATGAACTCCTAATGCAAGAAATTGTATAGGGCTAATAAAGAAACATTATCATTACATTAGTTTCATTATATGGTGTTTAATTTTACTGCAGATTTTAGAGCACTGTCCTTTTAAAAAAATAAACACACATTTTTTAATTCTTTCCTTCCATCACTGTATGTACTGTAACTTGACTGTAAATTGTAACACAGACCAAGAGGCTCAAAGTCTCAAGGTTGATCTTAACTGAATTGTAGAATATACTGTATGGCCCGGTTACTGATGCATACCAATGTAGCAGTTGCTGTTAGACATTTTGAATCAAAAATGGTTCGTTTACAAATCATACTGTTTTTTATGTATGTATGTGCTCTCACATTCACTTTTAACATCAATTTGCATCACATACTGAATGAATTTCAAAACCATGACTGTCAGACTCTACGAATACACTTGCTTTTGCAACAGACTTCACTAAAAGATGCCTCAGTACGGCCTGCAAAAAAAAAGGCTGAGAACACAAGAAGGCCCTCTGGTTTTAAAGCTGGTTTTATTGGTTCTTCCAGCTGAGCAGTTTAGTGAGGTAGAATAAGTGCTGTCCATACACACACAGAAGCCTCTTGTTTCTACTCCTGTGTCATCATGCTGAATTTAGTTACAAGTACACATGCAAAGCTTTGAGAGGTCTGGCAGCATTTTCACAGAGTTGTGCAAAAGTGAAACTGAGGGAATGTTCTGGCCTCTTTAGAACTGCCAGCACAACACAGAAGGTCCCAGGTGTGACAAATGCCTGCCAGGCTACTTCGGAAACCCCCAGCGTGGCCGACCTGATGACTGCAAGCCCTGTCCCTGCCCCTATTCGGAAATCTCTCGCCGGTAAGAGAGACTCCAAACAGGACCTGGATTAAAAGTTCAAAAATGGACTTTGTTGTTCTCGAGCAACTGTCTTCTCCTTTTCCTAACAGAGGTTACCAGACTGCTTTGAATAAACGTTCAGCAATCACGTTCAATAAATTGGAATCCGTAAAGAAGGAGTTTCTTTTAGTATAGTTTTAAATTTCAGAAGCCACGATCCAAGATTAACTATCTGCAGTTGCCTCCTGCTTGTCATGTAAACCATACGGTTCAGACTGTGGTGCTTGTCCAGTTTTAGAACGATTACAAAAACTGTTTTCAAAGATTCAGTCCCCATCTTGGTAATTGATTAATGAATGTTTTTAGCCCGTTTAAACATGCTGAAATTAGAGAACAGTATTCCTGGTGGATAGTTCTTTATATATCATGCATTAATGACACTGAATAGAAATGAGAAGCAGAGGCAAGTGCTCACTTGCAGAAATTTCAGTTAAAGGAGTCTGCCTGCTTTCTTAACCAGATATCCAGTTCTGCTGTTTCTCATTTAACAGAGACCCAGCCTTCCAAATTCATTTTTCTAATTGACCTTTCTTGTAATATAGAATTTTATTTATCCTTGACATCTGGGTCAGCCTTTCTATAGCGCAACTATTTACATGTACAGTATAACGATATAAGAATAGGGCAGCATGGTGGCTGGAGTTCAATTCCAGCCTGGGGTGCTGTCTGTGTGGAGTTTGTATGTTCTCCCTGCATTTGTGTGGGTTTCTGAGAAAATTTGTGAGTGTGTGTGGGTTTGTTTCTGTCTGCCCTGCAATGGACTGGTGTCCTGTCCAGGCTGTACCCTGCCTTGTACCTGTTGCTGTTGGAATAGGCTCTGGCCCCCTGTGACCCTGAATTTGATAATGGGATAAAAAGATGGATGTTACTGTAAATTAATTAGGCCCATTTTCCAGGAGTAGTTAAATTTACAACATAAAGTCTCTAGTGTCTAACCAGGAGAGGATAAATAGGAGTGCAACTGCATGAGCCATGCAGTCAGGAGATATTTCAAAAGAGCTGTGTATCATGACTACAAAAGCACATTGCTGCCACCAAGGGAAAAAAATCACCCCCTTATCTCGTAATTACGAGAAAAGTATCTCATAATTACAAGATAGCGCAGTATCTCCTACGAGATAGCAATGATTACTTCAGTGTGTGTACAACCTGTTACATTGTGCACTGAACACATCCAGAAGCTACCATGAACTTGGCTGGCACTTTTGGTTTAATGATCGTGTCAGTGTCCAGCGCTGCAGAATCTCTATGGATTTGCTTTCGACTGGGGTTTAGTCATAATGATGCCCTTGGAATGTAGCAACTTGCTTGAATGGCATTCCATTTCACGTCACTTACAAACAGAGGCATCAAAAATTCTTCTGAGAGTCAGAATACTTCCAAGCTCTCCTTCTGAAAGCCTATACTTGCTGAAATGTTGTGCTTTTGATCACATGTAATTTGTATTGATTTTTGGATAGTAAGGTGAATGCTGTTTAGCCTCAGCCAAAACATCTGAAACTTGGTCATGTAGTGTTTTCCCCTTGTGTTTCTCTTTAGGTTTTCAGACACCTGTTTCATTGACACAGATGGCCAGGCAACTTGTGATAACTGTCTGCCTGGATATACTGGGCGTAGGTGTGAAAGGTGAGAGAGTACAACAGCGCTGTCTTTCAGCTGTGTTTGCAGAACCTACAGGAAAACTATACATACAGTACAGTATAACAAGCTACAAAGCCATACTAGATGCATTTGTCTTGCACATACTGTAGTGCTTGAGTCTACATACTACAGTGTTTTCTTGATCACAGGTAAATGTTTATTGAATGTAAACCTTGTTTTTTGAATGTAAACTAATTACACCTGTTTATCCAGATGTAAAATAGCCCTGATAGGAAAATGGCTTCAGGGTACATTTTTGCCAGCCAGTAAACACAAACATCGATGACTTAGAAGAGTTAATAGCTTATAGACTCCTAAAAGGTTGCACCCCTTATTGCTACAGCTATTTAAGTAACTTCTAAACTTCTGCATTTGTAAGTCCATCACACAAAGATATCAGCTTGCACAGCACTGCAATGAATCCTGAAAAAAAAAAAGCAAAAATCCTGAAAATAAAAAAATATATAGGCTTGAACAGGCTAGTTGAACAGGCTTGAAGTAGTTCAAGTATGGAGGCATGCGCAGGCTGCAAAGGAACAAGTAAAGGTTTATTCCCTGCTGAAAAGAGAAGAAAATAAACAATGTTTTGGCCAAAGAAGGCTCCACAGCTGAAATGTTGTGTTTCTTTTCTTCTCTTTTCAGCAGGGAATAAACCTTTACTTACAAGCTTGAATAGTTTAAAAACTTGTCAGGAAGCATATCATACATGCAAATTTAAAAAGTATGCTTTTTATACGGTATGTGTAGCAAACCATGGCACCCTGCTATGTGTTGTAAATGCTGGTTGAATTGTGGCATTCAGGTATCAATTTCAACATTATTGTAGCGGACCTTCAAGCAAAATTAAATCGTCATACTTTTGTTTTGTGGACAAAGAAATTAATTCTGCGGTGTTGAAGCAAAGCTGGACACATGGAAAACTTACATATTTCCATTCGCGTTTTGGCTCGGGGGTTAAATTAAATTTGCTCTTATAAGCACGAAGATAGTGGACAGAACTCCACAGTGTCGTGTTTTACTTCTGTTTTTCATAGGTGTGCTGCAGGCTATCAGGGAAACCCACTCCAGCCCAATGGAAAGTGTGTTCCAGTGGGTAAGTTTTCATCTTTTAGTAGAGGAGAAAGGGAAAAATTCTCAATGGAATGAATCAGGAAGCATGTAATTGCAGGTTTAGAATATGGTAAATTAATTAAAGGAATGCCAGGTGCTGCTATCTTTTTATTTCTGTATATATGAAATCCAAAACAGCACTGACAGAGAAATTACATCAGTTCAACCTTTCTGAGCCAAGAATGCTTTCTGGCTGTCTCATATCACTGTTTCTTAATATGGAATTTCAACAGTTTATTTGGTGATTCTCTGTCTCTGACAATCAAATTGTCCTACAGTATGTGAAACAGCTTACCTTCCTTATAGTTGTCATGGGCTGATTACAGCTGATGTCTTTCCCATCTTGCGAAAACGCAGCTGGGACAGCTCGCTGACCTGGTGTTAGTTTTGGTTCAGAAGTGGGACACCTTTTTGCGTGGAACTTGCGTGTTCTTGCGTGTGGCTGGTCTCCAGGTGCTTCTGTTTCCTCCTACTTCTCCATGATATGTTAGTTAGGTTAGCTGTAACGGCACTGTTGCTGAGATTTTTGTATGAATGGAGCCTATGCAATAGCCGGTTAATCTCCCGCATCGGGTCCGAGAGAGAGAGAGCCGGGTGTACTTAGCCAAGTCGAAGGATCAGGAATCGTGGTCCGGGTCGAATCGCAAGTCAGGAAACTTGAGGTTCGGAAGTTTGACAACAATCTGGAGGATTTCAAGGGCGAGAACTGGGAGCTCTACTGGTAAAACCAATACTGGGTGTTGTGGAGATGGTAGCAAGTCCTTAAGTTCTCTGGGAAGCAGAAGGTGCGGTGTTGAGTGAGAGGTACAATTGTATGATTAGTTTGTGTCGGCGTTTGTGGGGAAAAAGGAAAGGGCTAGTGTCTGATTATGTGTGTGTGTGCCCTGAGATCCACTGCAGGGTGCCTTGTTCCCTGTGTTTCCGTGCTGGTGCAGCGTTTCAGCGGCCTCCATCACAAACAAATGGCTTTCTGAAAAGACTGCCATTGTCCCTATCTGTCAAAATCCCAGGCTTTAAAAGAACATATCCTTTATCCCCTTTTAAAATACAAATTATTTTATCAACTTACTTCTTTATTTCTGGTATGGCAGTTCCTAATATTTAAGGAAGATGTGAGAAGGAATAAAGTTGGGAGTTTGTTGTCACAAAGTGTGATCAAAACTGCAATGTGTTCTCTTAACCATATAACATTGCTTAATATTCTACCCCACTTGGAGGCAGTCAACGACAATGGAGGGGAAACTGAATCTGATACAAAAATAGACTTTGAGATCTGAATCGGACGTCCGCACTTGTGCGTGTATACTGTAGCATTAGAGAGGGGGTCCTTCTGCAGAATGTCATTTTGATTTTGGCCCTCCTGTGGTAGTGCTGACTTTGTTCTCTCTGGCCCGTTTGTAGCAGGTCCGACGTGCGACAGCCGGGGTGTGGTGACCTCCAGCAGCAGGCTGTGTACATGCAAGGTAACTCCTGCCCTGTCTGAGGCAGCTCCAGCTGTTTCTCTGTCCCGGTGTTCGGGTCGCACTCGAATCAGAAACGACAGGCAGCAAAACCTTTAAGTTAAACAGAAAAAAAAAGCACATCAGCAGCTTTACATCCACTCTTATCATTTCTTTCACTCTTATTCAGACATGCAAAACTTTTTAGATACCGTAAATAGTCTTTACGCTTTTAATATTTGAAAAACAAGCTAGAAACAAGGACGAATTTCCCACGGGTAAACAGCCGCTCGTGAAGGAAGCAGTAGGGGACACCAGGGGGAGCGCAGGCCGTTAAAATCATCTCGCACGCTGTATTCCAGCCCAACGTCATCGGTGCCTTCTGTGACGAGTGCAAGATCGGCACCTTCCACCTGACGCAGGCCAATCCGGAGGGCTGCCTGCAGTGCTTCTGCATGGGCGTCACCAGCCAGTGCGCCAGCTCGTCCTGGAGCCGCGACCAGGTGGGTCCGACCAGAGCCCCGGGTTTCAGCAAAGGAAACCGTTTTTACTCTCCCTTTTCTGCAGCTGCGCTGTATTCTTAATTTTGGAAACTACATTAACCGACCAGGGCTATCCAGTTGACTTGATGAT